ACTGAGGGCAATGGCAAGCCAGCCGAGGCTCCAGAGACTGAGGGCAATGGCAAGCCGCCACTACCGCCCGCTGCCAAGAGCAAGCGGCCCAAGGCACAGCCAAAGCCAGCAGCTGAGAACGCAGCAGGTGACAGCAGAAAGAGAAAGCAAACGGCAAAGGCAAAAGCAACAGCAGCTTCGAAGAGTCAAAAACTTGATTCTTTTTTTGGAGCTGGGAAGTAGTTCAGTGTGCTGTGTGGCAGCGCCCTTTCAGGCCATTTTGCGCTTGTGAATTTTCCTGTTTAACACAATTTTCGAGCAAGAGATTTGCAAAGCACCGGGGCCACAATGGACCTGGGGCAAACTCTGATAAAGGCAAGGCAGGCAGTGGCAAATCCGTGACCAAAAGGGTGAGCTGCTCGGAGCCAGCCGAACCAGTGCAGAACATATGTCTTTTTGTCAGTCGGTCCATCCACAACCCCACAGTCCCACTTGGCCTGCCACTCGACATGTATAAGCTAGCCTAACTATAACTAGCATTCAAATAATGTGCGTTCCACTCCGCTACTCATGATCTTTGGGACCAACTGGCCCATTGTGACACACGTTTTTTTAAAATAAGTGTTCTTGCGCCACCCCCAGCACATCCCGCGCACTTGTTGACATGGTTTCTTTAACACCTGTTCACGAACACTTCTCGCGACCAAACCGCAAGCCAATAAGAAAATTATCATTCATCCCCCATCCGACCCGCACCCGTCCTTCCCGCTCGTCCCGATCTCATCCCGATCTCGTCCTTCGCATCTCAGGTCGGCACTGGAGCTCCAAGCGCTCGGCCTCGCCGGTGACCCAGGCCTCCGCCTCCTTCCGGGGTCCATCCAACGCCTCCGCGACCGGACCGAGGCCGGTCGCACTGGGGTCGGTCCGGGCCGGGCACACGAGCTCGGGTCGACGGAGTGGTCCCGTGAAGCACGCGGCGATACGCGGCGATGTTGGTGACCAGTGTTCCGCCTCCTTCTCCCGCTCCGCCACGCGCAAGCGATTCAACTTCCTGAGGACGCCATGCGCAATCGGCCAAAACGAGAGGTCTTTATGTACCAGCTAGAAACTTGAATCAGGCAACATGGCTCCATCAAACTGCTAACTGAATAGCAAACAGTGAGAAACAAGGTGCATGGAAAGATTTGGGAAAACCCATTTCTTCTGCACCCATTTTCAAATATATACTAAAATGATGTTTATTGTTTTTTGTTTTTAATGTTTCAAGTTCAATGCAACGGGTTTCTCAAATTGCACTGGACGACTGGCATGAATGTTGAACAAACAGTGCTGCAAGAACAAATCCAGCCGTGCCAGCTAGTCGTGAGTCACAGTGCGAAGCATTTGGCCGGAGCAGCAGGTTCACCTCCACAGCAACAGCTACAGCAGCAGCTGTTGAACAGCAAGCTGCTGCATGAGCATTCTTTGCTGCATGTCTTCACGGGAGTACCCCAAGGTAGGTGGTTGATGTGGAGCGCATCTGTCTAAGACATCTTGGGGTGCCAATGCCATCTACTCTGAAACCACTGTATCGCGTGGAGTGAAATTGTCAGTCATTGTTTTCCAGATTTCTCCATCGGCAGCCAAGAATTCAAACAGCAGCAAGCATTTGCTGAATTTGTTACGTTCCAGTCTGCGTGAATTTGTTGTTTGTACTTCTTGTTTTTGTATGCAACTTTTCTGTGCCTCTCTGTGCTCTACTTTTGAATGTTGCTTGGGCTTTGCTGGATCTGCTCTTACAAAAAGGTGTGCGGTATCTGCTAATTCTATTGTTGGTTGCTTCCCCTGAATTCCCCAAGATTTGATGTGCCAATGCCGTTAGACAGATGTGTAATATGGACAACGGACATGACAGGGACGGACGTATATAGCATGAACATACCATATCTGATATCTGGGATTTGAAGAGGAATCAGTCGTGAGGGATTGCCGAGGCCAGTTCAAAAGAAACACGTTCTGCAAGTCATCCGAACTGTATCTAGTACATTATATATAATTGCATAATATTGCATATAATACAATTGCCAGAGGATCCAGAAAATATCATCTACATTCACCACAAACAAACAAACAGTATTATGTAGGCAATATTTGCGCCACCAAGGATCGCCGGGGATAGGTAGGAGTGCACTTTCCCGAAGTTCATTCATCGACCATCCAGGCTTGAAGCTAGCATTGCACTGAACACGATGTGAATGGTCTACAGTGACCCCATGTGACCACTATACAAAACGCTGGGCATATATAAAGAACATAAACGGACCATAGAGACTGGCCGACTGAACAAGCCATG